GGGGTTAACAGAGCCTTCTCGTAGCTGAAGCCGTGCACCGCAGCGCACCGCTCTCGTCAGCTCGGGACTCCAAATGCGAGCAAGGACAGAGAGAGGCCGCAACTGATAACGAGGCACTGAACGAACAGACAGGGTGTAGCCAACGATAGACAAGGAAGACGACCCACCACGAGCCCAAGCAAAATCGAAGTCCAGATGAAGGGCAGACAGAGGACCCTGTCCCCAACATCCACAAGACAAGGAATGACCGAAGCCAGGGCCGAAGCCGAAGGCAAACCAGACCCCGCCAAAAGGACAGAACCGCGGGAAGTGAAGGAAACCGCGGAGCGTGAGTGCCACACATCCAGGCTGGGAGACAACGGGAGACAAATGAATCCGTCCACCCAGAGGGGCATCCAGGCTGGGAGACAACGGGAGACAAACAAAGGGAGACAAAGGGAGACAAATGAATCCGTCCACCCAGAGAGGCATCCAGGCTGGGAGACAACGGGAGACAAATAAAGGGAGACAAAGGGAGACAAATCAATCCGTCCACCCACAGAGATGGGAGACAAATGAAGGGGAACCAAGGGAGACAAGTGAATCCGTCCGCCTGGAGAGCCGTGACAGACATCCAGGCTGGGAGACAAGGGGAGCCAAATGAAGGGAGACAAAGGGAGACAAGTGAAACTGTCCACCCAAAGAGCCGTGCCAGGCATCCAGGCTGGGAGACAACGGGAGACAAATGAAGGGAGACAAAGGGAGACAAGTGAATCTGTCCGCCTGGAGAGCCGTCAGGCTGGGAGACAACGGGAGACAAATGAAGGGAAACAAAGCCCAGAGAGCCGTGCCAGACAAATGAAGGGAGACAAAGGGAGACAAATGAACCCGTCCACCCAGAGAGCCGTGCCAGGCATCCAGGCTGGGAGGCAACGGGAGACAAATGAAGGGAGACAAAGGGTGACAAATGAACCCGTCCACCCAGAGAGCCGTGCCAGGCATCCAGGCTGGGAGACAACGGGAGACAAATGAAGGGAGACAAAGGGAGACAAATGAACCCCTCCACCCCAGAGAGCCGTGACAGGCGTCCAGGCTGGGAGACAACCGGGGCCAAATAAAGGGAGACAAAGGGAGACAAATGAATCCGTCAGGCAAATGGAGAGGGAGACAAATGAACCCGTCCGCCGACTGGGTATCTCAGCGTAAGGTTCGTTGAACATCCTCGAAGAATCGATAGAGGATTTAACTCCAGCGTGATTCACGTTTGTTTTAGCGGGGGGTTAACAGAGCCTTCTCTAGCTGAAGCCGCGCACCGCAGCGCACCGCTATCGTCAGCTCGGGACCGCAACTGATAACGAGGCACTGAACGAACAGACAGGGTGTAGCCAACGATAGACAAGGAAGACGACCCACCACGAGCCCAAGCGAAATCGAAGTCCAGATGAAGGGCAGACAGAGGAGGACCCTGTCCCCAACATCCACAAGACAAGGAATGACCGAAGCCAGGGCCAAAGCCGAAGGCAAACCAGACCCCGCCAAAAGGACAGAACCGCGGGAAGTGAAGGAAACCGCGGAGCGTGAGTGCCACACATCCAGGCTGGGAGACAACGGGAGACAAATGAATCCGTCCACCCAGAGAGCCGTGCCAGGCATCCAGGCTGGGAGACAACGGGAGACAAATAAAGGGAGACAAAGGGAAACAAATGAATCCGTCCACCCACAGAGATGGGAGACAAATGAAGGGGAACCAAGGGAGACAAGTGAATCCGTCCGCCTGGAGAGCCGTGACAGACATCCAGGCTGGGAGACAACAGGAGCCAAATGAAGGGAGACAAAGGGAGAAAAGTGAATCTGTCCACCAAAAAAACAGTGCCAGGCATCCAGGCTGGGAGACAACGGGAGACAAATGAAGGGAAACAAAGGGGTGCCAGACATCCTGGGAGACAAAGGTAGACAAATGAACCCGTCCACCCAGAGATGAAGGGAGACAAAGGGAGACAAATGAACCCGTCCACCCAGAGAGCCGTGCCAGGCATCCAGGCTGGGAGACAACGGGAGAAATCAAGGGAGACAAAGGGAGACAAATGAACCCGTCCACCCAGAGAGCCGTGCCAGGCATCCAGGCTGGGAGAGAACGGGAGACAAATGAAGGGGACAAAGGGAGACACATGAACCCGTCCACCCAGAGAGCCGTGCCAGATCCAGGCTGGGAGACAACGGGCGACAAATGAAGGGAGACAAAGGGAGACAAGTGAATCTGTCCACCCAGGCATCCAGGCTGGGAGACAACGGGAGACAAATGAAGGGAGACAAAGGGAGACAAATGAACCCGAGCCGCGCCAGGCATCCAGGCTGGGAGACAAATGAAGGGAGACAAAGGGAGACAAATGAACCCGTCCACCCAGAGAGCCGTGCCAGGCATCCAGGCTGGGAGACAACGGGAGACAAATGACAAAGGGAGACAAATGAACCCGTCCACCCAGACTGGATCATCCAGGCTGGGAGACAACGGGAGACAAATGAAGGGAGACAAAGGGAGACAAGTGAACCCAGGGAGACAAACGAACGCGTCCACCCAGAGAGCCGTGCCAGGCATCCAGGCGGGGAGACAACGGGAGACAAATGAAGGGAGACACAGGGAGACAAATGAACCCGTCCACCCAGAGAGCTGTGCCAGGCATCCAGGCTAGGGCTTGGCAACAGGCGAGCCACCTTAAATGAATTTAGAACCCCTCACAGTAAACTGTTTGGGGAAAAAGCCCCCTTGTTTTTGGCTCGGGGGGCCATGTGGCAATGTTCAAGTGGATAGAAAAAAGCATCCCAGCTGATTAACTCCTGTTGCTTCTCTAGAGGCTCCACTCCATTTCCTGGGCCGCTAATCATGCATTTCGCTTGAAGGTTTTTGAACTTGATGCCCGCGTCCCTCCTTTTCACTCCGTGTCACTCGCCTGCCCTCGGTCGCCCACTCCGACCGCTCCAAGGGCCCAGGGCCAGGCTGAGTGTGCTCCAAACTTCCTGAGCATCGCACGTCGACCAAGCCCCAATGCTGGCGCATGCTGGCGCCCACTCCTTTCCAAGCATTGCTCACAGCAAGTTGACAGCAAGCAATTGGTGGGCTTAGCAATGGCAGCACGGTAATATGATTTGTTGAAGGACCTTGTGCGGGGAAGTTGCATTTCAGGTGTGGGGGTGTTCGCTCGGTCAGGAGCAAGGGGGCTCATTGAAGACCGGGCCGCGGGGTGTCGCGGGTCGGGAAGTGTCAAATGTTTGGCAGAGCTCTCCGCGGCGGAAGGGATTTTGAGATGTTGGTGTGTTTGTCTAGTGGCAGCTTGGTTAAATCCAAGGTTCTGAGCACTGAAGACTAGTCTTGAACCATTTAACCCGCCCATTTTCGGCCGCAGATCAGAGAAACGTAGATGCCGAATGGGATCTTTCGCCTTGGGGAATTTGTGGGGGTCACTGGTCACCAGTTCCCTCGCTAGCGGCCCAAGATAATACAATGGAATACATCACTGGTGAGCTCCCGCGTATTCGCGCATAGTTGATGCCTCTTGTATGGCCTACCACGGAATGAGCCCGGTTTCCTCTTGAAGGTATGGCACCCAAGCTGGTTCACCAAGAACGGGAGCCAACAGGATCCGCTCTCTTTTTCCATACAGCGACAAGCAAGCCGCAAGCCGGCGACCACAATTTTCGGGCTTCGAGGTTTTCCCGACCATAGTTTTCATTTGAACGCTGCAGATTCAACCCGTTGGCTGCGCTCAGGTCATGATTTGGGACCTCCGGCGGCCCTCCGATGCCCCGGTGCTCCGCAGCGGATCTTCCGTGCCGGGGCCTCACGGGAAAGACATGGCACCTCACTTTCCAGGGCTTCCGGTCTGAAAGCTGTGTTGGGAAGATCCGAAAGGTTTGGACTTTTTCTCTTTTTTTTCTGACCAGGAAGCGCTCAGGGAGCGAGTAACATGAGTGGTTGTGGCAAATCATCGCCCTTCTTGCGACACCAAACTGGCGGATTCCCACCTTTGACAAGGGGCCCACTTTGGGGCAGCTGAGCTTTGGCGGGTGCCGTGGAAGATGGAACCCACCGACTCCAGGTCCAACATTTGGATGGCGGAAAGGTTCAAAGGGTCCAGTCTGGTCCGAATCGGTCGCTACAACTTGCTGGTTCTCTGGATGGAATGGGGGAATGACCCCTACAAACCATGCCCTAGGGTTTCCTTTGGGGGGATCCCACGGTTCATTTCCAACGCCCGGACTCGGTCATTCCCTACCTATTTCACCAGCAAATGTTTTTTGGTTGTTGGCTCATTCCCCTAAAGGAAGCCATAGGATATGGTTGATTAGGGGTCATTCCAACTCATTCCCTCACTGAGTGACTGAGTGACCAGCAAAAATGGTCGCATGTTTGTTTCGGCCCGATGGAGACTCACTCAGGTCGTCCCACAACGACCAGAAGCACACGGACATCGTGTGGGAGACCAGATGGGTGGACCAGGGCCCTGAGAAGCAGCCGCGGACTCGGGGCTGGAATGCCTGAGCCCAACAGTCCCTAAATACAACCCAAATAGGGGACCCTAGAGTTTAGTTGATCCCTAAATACTACCCAGTCTATTTGGTACAGGATCTTCGGACTTTATTTGTTTTTGGTTGGAACATTGGATTTTCGATTTGGACCCACAAAAAGTTATACTTTTGGCAGGGGGTCGAAGTTCTGTGGCAACCTATTTTCCTGTTTGCAGGATTTCCGCAAAGGTCCCTTCGTCCACCAAAGCTGGGCAACTGGATTCTGACACCATACTCTTGAGACCCTGGCCTCAGCTTCGCTTTGGCCCCTTGAGGCTTTCCTGCAGTTTCTTGCTTGCGCATCTTCTTGCCTCTGGCATTCGACGTAGGTATGACCCAAAGACTTTGAAAGCATGGGTGTCCTTGTGCAAATGGATGGGGATCCGTTGACCTGGCTGTTTCAATGGGCCGTCTGTCCCAACAGCACACCTCTCACATCGGCCCGCTGCCAACTCCGCAGCCCCGCAGCTCCGCAGCTCAGCCCGCGCGTCTGGGGAGTGCTGGCCCCATCGCCATGGGCAAGCTGGGGCCTGAGTTCCAGCCGTCGCAACCCAAGGAATCGGCTTGTTCAAAGCCAATCTTGCTTTAGTCCTTAGGCAGTTTCCCTTGTTGCAGTGGTTCATTGAATTCAAGACCAATCTTTGACCCTTAGGCCAGATGGTAGCAGTTTCCCTTGTTGCAGTGGTTCATTGTGTTCAAGACCAATCTTTGTTAGGTGGTCAGCAGTTGTTGTTCAAGACCAATCTTTGACCCTGAGGCCAGATGCCAGATGGTTCAGCAGACCCTTTCCACATTGTGTTCAAGACCAATCTTTGACCCTTAGGCCAGATGGTAGCAGTTTCCCTTGTTGCAGTGGTTCATTGTGTTCAAGACCAATCTTTGACCCTTAGGCCAGATGGTAGCAGTTTCCCTTGTTGCAGTGGTTCATTGTGTTCAAGACCAATCTTTGTGGCCAGATGGTAGCAGTTTCAGTGGTTCAAAGACCAATCTTTGACCCTTAGGCATGGTAGCAGTTTCCCTTGTTGCATTGTGTTCAAGTCTTTGGTGGTGCAGTTGTTGCAATCAGACCAATCTTTGACCCTTAGGCCAGATGGTAGCAGTTTCCCTTGTTGCAGTGTTCATGTTAGTGGTAGCAGTTTCCCTTGTTGCAGTGGTTCATTGTGTTCAAGACCAATCTTTGACCCTTAGGCCAGATGGTAGCAGTTTCCCTTGTTGCAGTGGTTCATTGTATTCAAGACCAATCTTTGACCCTTAGGCCAGATGGTAGCAGTTTCCCTTGTTGCAGCGGTTCATTGTGTTCAAGACCAATCTTTGTCCCTTAGGCCAGATGGTAGCAGTTTCCCTTGTTGCAGTGGTTCATTGTGTTTAAGACCAATCTTTGACCCTTAGGCCAGATGGTAGCAGTTTCCCTTGTTGCAGTGGTTCATTGTGTTCAAGACCAATCTTTGACCCTTAGGCCAGATGGTAGCAGTTTCCCTTGTTGCAGTGGTTCATTGTGTTCAAGACCAATCTTTGACCCTTAGGCCAGATGGTAGCAGTTTCCCTTGTTGCAGTGGTTCATTGTGTTCAAGACCAATCTTTGACCCTTAGGCCAGATGGTAGCAGTTTCCCTTGTTGCAGTGGTTCATTGTGTTCAAGACCAATCTTTGACCCTTAGGCCAGATGGTAGCAGTTTCCCTTGTTGCAGTGGTTCATTGTGTTCAAGACCAATCTTTGACCCTTAGGCCAGATGGTAGCAGTTTCCCTTGTTGCAGTGGTTCATTGTGTTCAAGACCAATCTTTGACCCTTAGGCCAGATGGTAGCAGTTTCCCTTGTTGCAGTGGTTCATTGTGTTCAAGACCAATCTTTGACCCTTAGGCCAGATGGTAGCAGTTTCCCTTGTTGCAGTGGTTCATTGTGTTCAAGACCAATCTTTGACCCTTAGGCCAGATGGTAGCAGTTTCCCTTGTTGCAGTGGTTCATTGTGTTCAAGACCAATCTTTGACCCTTAGGCCAGATGGTAGCAGTTTCCCTTGTTGCAGTGGTTCATTGTGTTCAAGACCAATCTTTGACCCTTAGGCCAGATGGTAGCAGTTTCCCTTGTTGCAGTGGTTCATTGTGTTCAAGACCAATCTTTGACCCTTAGGCCAGATGGTAGCAGTTTCCCTTGTTGCAATGGTTCATTGTGTTCAAGACCAATCTTTGACCCTTAGGCCAGATGGTAGCAGTTTCCCTTGTTGCAGTGGTTCACTGTGTTCAAGACCAATTTTTGACCCTTAGGCCAGATGGTAGCAGTTTCCCTTGTTGCAGTGGTTCATTGTGTTCAAGACCTATCTTTGACCCTTAGGCCAGATGGTAGCAGTTTCCCTTGTTGCAGTGGTTCATTGTGTTCAAGACCAATCTTTCACCCTTAGGCCAGATGGTAGCAGTTTCCCTTGTTGCAGTGGTTCATCTTATGCCAGATGCTCCATCGGCGGAGACTTGTTCAAACGGGGATTGAGCAATCCTTCCACGGCCACGTGCCCAAATGGGATGTCCCGGAAACAAAGTCCAAGCGGGTTGCATCCTAGCGAATCAGTGGATATTTCAGGTTTGTGCAACCTCCTTCTTCAGGATATCGGATTCTTAGGGTTTGGGTCTACAAAATCGTTTGTCATTGTCCATGGCACCTTCCCCGGGGGGGCCCCAAAAAAAACGGCAAAAAAGAAAGAAAGAAACAAAAACGGGGGTATACTTTCATGAAGCAAGTCAATGCTGGGGCTGAAAGTGAAGGATGCTGTCTACATTGGGGGCACTTAAGGGAATCCCCAAGACCGGTTCATTCCCAAAACCCTGACTTGGCCATTCCCTCCCCATGGCACTCCTCCTCACACTCCAATCTGTTGCTTTGATCCGATTGAGGGCCGAGACCTCAAGCCACATCAGGTGTTCGGCGAGCATACCTTTCTTTGGCCGGGTTCCCCACCAAACATCCCCAACACCCCCAAAAGTCACAGCCCCCCCCCAGAGGAAGGAAAAGCTTTTCTTAAACAACAAATTTCAACTATTTTTCTGCCAGGGCCACTGCTTGCAGGGAAGCAATCGCCCATAGCAGTTTGGGCTCGTTCCTGTTCCGAGGTTCTCTATGGATCCCTCGCTGGAGGAGCGAACGACCACAGTTCAATCAAGCTCCTTTCTATTTACTGGGCCCAACCTGAGTTCAGCTCATGTTTCATATATGGATATTTTCAGCTAACCTCAAAATACAGCAGAATATCGGAGGAGCCCAATTTACGTTGAAAGGAGGCCCCAGTGTTTGCCTAACCTACCCATAATGAGACAGCTCCTAAGACCGAAGCCTCATTGTCAATGTTCTTCCAGAACGGTGGCAAATAGATAACCCTAGCGTGAACTGAATCAGTGTGGGGGCCAAACAAGCAGTACTGGTGCTTTCTTTTCCCCACAGGGATCGAGGTGGCAGCTGGTTGCAGTTCGTGGTCATGCCTGGTTTGCTGGCATTTCTGGCGGGTTCGACCCATTCCAAGTGCCAAAAAGGAATTGAGCACACATTTCTTCCAGACTCGCTGCCTGCCAGCGACAACATGATTCTAAACCTGCGTTTGTTCGAAGCTACACCCCGTTGCAAGCTGCAAGTTGGTAGGGGGTTTAACTTGTTGTGAACCCAGCTCGGGTTCCGCCAGGGAATACTGTGAGATGCCGATGGGATTGTGAAAGTGTTGCAGCTGTGTTGTTGCTTGCTTCAGTTTGATTCGTGATTGTTGCTTTCGGTTCGTTTCCCTTTCAGCTAGCAAGCAGTTGGGGTGCAAGTTCGGTCTTTCGAGTTCAAAAAGAGTTTCCTTTCGTGTGCAGTGCGTGTGCAGGCCTTGCCTTCCATATTTCAACGGAGTTTGCCCCCTCGTGTCCCAAGTCTGGCCCTTTTTGGGGAACAAGCAGTTGGGGAGCACGCCTCAGAAGCAATCAGGAGCGTCTCGTGTTTCAAGTCCAGGCGAAGATGCACCAGTACCAGATCGTGGGCCGCGCAGCACCCACCAACAAGAACCCCACGCCCAAGCCGGGGCCCCAAAACTCCCCAGGGACTTTTTATGCTAGAGGAAGTCACCTGCGACGGAGCCGACCGTCTGCACAAGGTTAAACAAACTGAACTTTAGGGGACCTCCAAAAGTTTGGTTTTCCTTTTGGGGTTCCATGTAACTGTGCAGGGTGACGGCAATCCAAGGGATTGTCACTTTCCCGGCCTAGATGGTTTTCTCGGGGCCTTCAAAGGATAGTGCAAAAGGGGCTTGGCCAAGGTGCAGATCGAATGGGTGCCTTTGTTTCCCTGATTCCCTTCAGTTTCCTTGGAAAACGACCCTAGGGGTTGCGGTCGGGGTGCAAAAAGGGAATCCCAAGGGTTGCAACGCCTTACCCCAAATCCATGGATCGGCCGCTCAGGATTTACCGCATGCGCATCTTTGCACGGAACGTGGTGCTCGCCAAGTCCCGGTTCTGGTACTTCATGAAGCGGCTCAACAAGGCGACGCGACGCGTCGCTTGCTGTGGTTTGACGGCCGTTTCCTTGTGGCTAAATAGTGAACGGTGTTTTATGCCTCATGGAACTTCAAAAAGGGGGATGCAGAGTCTTTTCAGTTGTTCAACACAAAATTCAAGGCCGGAACGAGCTTTCTCTCAGACCTCCATTTGGAGGGGGCAAGCCCCTGTACCCTTTCTTGAGATGGGGAATCCCACTGCCTGGCGTTTTGGGAGCGAATGAGTGGAACGGCACAGGCCAAGAAGAGCGGAGGAGAGGTGCTGGCCGGGTAGCCCGTGCCCGAACTAGGTCCCCCAGTAGTGCCCGTTCTCCCCCCTTTTTTGGTTGGGAGGGTTCCCCTACTAAAATGACTACAGAAAAAAGTGAGTACCCTTATTCTAACCTCCTAGTCAAGGAGACGCGAGTGCCAGAAAAAAAAAGCAGGATGCTCCCTTTTAGCCTTTCTGCCGCTGGAGATTGGCGGGGGGGGGGGGAGGGGGCTCTCAAATCCCAGAAAAAGGAAGAAGAGGACACTGCTTCTCGTTTCCTTGAGAATGACAAAGTAGTCAGGGGGGATCCGATCCCCCCATGGCATCCACAGCTGCCAGATTCACCCTCACAACAGAAATGGTTTGGTGCACAGGCGGTAAGAGGCAGAGCGTTCGCTAGAGGCATGGATGAAAGCCATGCATGGCTGTGTCGGGGTCGCCGGTTGCAAGTTCGCATGCAGCTTTACATGCTTTGCCTCTACTTGCCAAAGTTGGTGTTCAGAAATGGCTGTGGGTCAAACACAGGTGCTCAGGGTGGAACCCTGGTAAATGGAAACATGGACTAAAACCTATCCCATGGTGGTTTAATTTTGACCCATACCCAAGTCACGCATTGCCTTTTCAAAGGTCTCTTGAAAGCTGGGTCGGGCCAACCTTTTTACGCTTAGCCCTTCCCTCCCCCTAACATGGCAGGGGATACTTTCAAGAGAAAGTCGAGCCAGGGGCCCTCCGAAAGCTATGTTTGTAGGAAGGGTGTTGTTCAAAGCCTCACAGTACGTTTTCCGCTCGTCCAAGCGGCTCTCTGATCTCAACGTGCATGGGCAATGCTTCCTTGGTGCCTAACATGATGGAAACAAGGCCTTCAGCAAAACCTTTTTGGAACCAGCGTAACGCCTCAGACGAGTGTTAGAGCAAGCGCCTCAGAAACGGGTTCTAGACTTTTGGTTGGGTCCCTTTCCCATAGGGTCCAAGTACCTCCGGAGGATGGCTTTGGGGGGTAAGAAGGGCTTTAAGTACCTCCCTAGAAGGTACTTGGACCCTCTGGGTTTGCCAGTTTTTTTTTCTCCTCCAATTTAGAGCAAGCACCTCAAAAACGGGTTCTAGACTTTTGGGTGGGTCCCTTCCAAATCATGTCAAAGTAAGCCCGCGAGGCCGTGAACGAGCTTCACGACACTACGCCGACCAAAGCCCTGCACTCAGACAGTCGGCGGCGTTCGAGCGGGCAAAATGGCATGTGGGTGCCATTGCATAGCGGCACCCTTTTTTGACATGTTTGTTTGGTTGGTTCCATGCTAAGATGGGCTCACACAACCGAGACGAGTTTTCTTTTGTAAACGGGTTGCAGGTTTGGCTTTCGCCAGGTGCGGTTAGACGCGACCGTGCTTTCGGAAGCCTTGTGAGTGCGCGGCATGCGTCACTTGGTCGGTGGGCTTATGTTAGCTTTTACTCTTTCAGCGACTGCTGCTTTTGTGGGCATCCTGCTGCACATGTTTGTTTTATAGGTTTTGCTTATTTCGGTGCTGGTGATTTTCAGTGGGGGAGGCTATCGTCAGCTCTTTTGACACCCCCCGCTTTCAAAAAGACAAGGGAATGCAACGTGCTTCTTCGCTTGTTCGAGTCCACTCGGGGTCAAGCCTGCCGGTCGCAACCTGTGAGGTGAAGAACTACGGGATCTGGCTCCGATACGACAGCAGCGGGGTTCCTAGCAAGAAAGGTCCACCAACCAGGGGGCCTTTCTTTGGGGAAGGGTTCCCCTTTAAAGGCAACCAACCCAAAAAGGATGCCCTTTATTTCCCATGGAAATCCACTGGGCATCTAAGGCTGGGCAACTGGGAAAAGGTTGGAAAACAGAATGGGCCTCATGGAGATTCTCCTGCCTTGCGCTTGGGTGGGGGTTGGTGCGGTGTATGTAGAGGTTGTTTTGCAGGCCACTGATACAAACCAGGTCAACCATCGTATGGATGCCCCAAACAGGGGACCCCCCTCAAAACTTTGGTGCATTTTGCTTGGATGTTGGGACTTTAATTTTTCGCCAACGTTGATGGGTGTTCCGTATCAAACCACCGAAAGTTAGTCACCTTTAGCAGGGCTTCGCAGATTTCGCAACAGAGAAAATGGAGCCCAAAAGGAACCCCTAATCATGGTTGTTGTTGGGAAACATTTTGCATTTTTGCTTATCGTAGTTTAGTGGGAAATCCCCACTTCAGTGCTAAAATTTTATTTTTTGCTCCCCTTCCAACGTCAACCAAGAAAAGTCCCTAATAGACCCTGGCCATTGGCCGTATTGGGATTCGGGGGTTTTGGGGGGGGGGCCTATTGGATAAAATATCCCCCACCAGTAAAAAAGACCAGGCGCGTCCAGGGCTATGTTCGGGTGAGTTGGATTCGCTCAGATTGGATTCGCTTGGAGCTCGGCTTGGGTTCGCAGCTCAGGAACCAACACGCACAACATGTACAAGGCCCAAGCCTGAGAGAACCGGAGCCGATTTCCTCACCAACTCGCGGTTGGATTTTTCAGCCCCTGAAAGATGTTTTTTTCCAGAATCCGCCGGCTTTCGTGGTTGGATGTACCTGAACCCTCCAAATTCCTTTAAGAATTGTATATAGCCCCAAAAAGTAGTTTGGGGGTCCATGTATGTGGTTTCCTTTGCTTCTGTTTAGGGGAATCCATTTACATAATATGCTTCCAGTTTTGGCAAAGGGGCAAATGCGCCATTCGCCTTGATTGGGTGGTTCACTTTGCCCCAGAGCTCCGGTAGTGCATTGTTGTCGCTTTCTTGCACTGGTTGGGGTCGAAGCTTCCCTTGCAAACCAACTACCCCAACAACAACAACGACAACAACAACAACCCCTTTTTTCCCACCCAGAGGCTCCTGGGGCTTTCAACGGAAGACCCGACCCCTCCATTGGACACCCTGGAGGTGTTTGGGGGTCTCAAAACCTGGCTGTAGAAGGGCCCCAATTGAATCGGGAGCCTTTTTTTGCGGCGACAGACGTCCGCCGTTTGCCCAAAAAACTCCCTGAGGAGTTCCGCAACGTGAACATCAACGGGGCGGTGGGTCAGCTCTACCAGGAGCTCCCCGTCGGAACGCTTCGGAGTTTGGAGGTGTGGCTGTGCCGTTTTGGAAGGTACCCTTATCGTGGTTCGAAGGAAAACCAAAGAGACGCCACCCATTCTGTTGCAGGAAGCCGGAGGTATCTTCTTGACGGGGGTGGGCAATCGCAAGAGAAAGACATGACCCTGTTGGAAACTTTGGCCCCAACGCCTGAAATGTCCATTTCTGGCTAGTTGACGCATCACTTTTTAGGCAATTTCCAGATAGTTTTCCTCTTGGCAGGGTGATGCCACTGACCCCAACATCGCAATTAGAACGTTCGGGGGTCGAACAGCCGGATAAAGAACGAAACAGCAGTTCCCCCTGTTCTCTTGATCCGATTTGAGCGTGACATGTCCAGGAGATGGCCGGGCGACACCGTGTCCAGACTGCAACTTGAGAGCGGGTCTCCATGTGGCATGCCACGGCATGGCCAGTTGTCCAAAGCAAGATGACCATTTGACTCCCAACATGGAGCTCACCAGAAGGTCTCTTCTCAAGACAAAACATGTCTTTACAGGCACCTCCAGTCAGGTTCCCTGGTGCCAGGATTCTAGGGGGGACTTCCCCCCCTTAAAATGGTTGGTTCAATTTTTGACCCTCCTTTGCAACCAACAAGTTGTTCGGAGTTGCGAAATTGTCAAGAACTATTTCATCAACTCACCACCTGGTGGCCGCGGCAAATACAGTGTTTGCAACTTGCCTTGCAATATCCAGTCCACCTAGTGGCAGACCAGTCATCGGACTCCCACGCTCTTACAGCCAGTGGAGGGCTGTCCAAACGGGACAAACCTTTTGGTTTCAGGTACTAGCCAAAAGGGGTGTGATGTTTTTCTCCGACCCCGCTGGGGGGCCTGAGGGTTTCGGGTTGCAGGGGTGCCACTTTGCAGAGGTGCGAGCCCGGGCTCCATCCAGATCATCCATGCCGCTGGGAAGGGTTTCAGAACGAGCGAGTGGACCCAAGGGAAACCTTTTCTTGGTGGTTCCCGAATGCCATCCGGTTCCTTAGCCTTTTAGTGTTCAGTGGTTGGATTTCCAGTTAACTCACTGAAGGTTAAAGATTTAGCGGGGAATCAGAGGACAGCCCAGTTTTGAGACCCAAAGGAACTAGGTCTCCCAGCAATGCCCTTTTGCCCTTTTTTGGGGGGAGGGTTTAGGGTTTAAATAGACTACAGAAAAAAGGGTACCCTTATCCTAACCTCTCTAGTGGAAGACCTAGCTTTTGGAGCCAAAGGGAAGGATTCATAAGCATCTGATTGATTCATACTGGGGGCGTTCCTCTTAAGAACACATACTACTTATAGAGCCTAAAGGGTTGCACGGCGCGAAGCCGCCTAGAAAGCTCTGACTCGCTCGATTGTTTTTTCTCGCGCAACAGGTTTGCAACCAACCGGAGCAGCCTTTTGCAACTTGCAGCCGGATATCCGGGTATGCCAGGGGCTATAGTCTTTACCCCGCTGCGCCTGGCTGAGTTACAGAGGGCCAGGGCTGCTCACAAGATGCCCATACTCTGATTCATTCACAGTATTGTTGGTGACATGCTTTCGATCTTCTGATTTGTTTGCCCCTCATGGTGACTGGCTTACTGACCTGCAAACACTGGTGTTCACACGATTGAGCTAGCCACTCATAGGATCCCAATCCCCTCCACCCGCTCTTCCCCAAGAATCAGACACGCAGGAAACAAGGGATGCTCGCACAGTGTTGCAAGCCTCTGGATGGGCACGTTGGGCTGAAACAAAAGGTAATCATGTTCAGTTCTCGATTCTATGTCTTTTGCAACTATTCAAAAAAAAAAAAAAAAAACACACCACCACAGCAAGAATGCCCTTGAAGACATTTCGGTGAAATGAGCAGTAACATGATTCGGAATCCAGTGAAATGCCCTACTCGGTCCCCCAGTAGTGCCCTTTTACCAACTTTTTTTGGGGAGGGTTCCCCTACCAAATAGACCAGAAAAAATCGGGTAGCAACTTATTCCAACCACGCTACTGGAGGACCTAGCCTATAAAGTACCACCACGGAGGAAAACCAAAAAAAGAAAAGGAAAAAAACGGCCCGGCGTCGCAAAACCAGAGGCGGCCACCGTGGCGGATGAGAACTGCCGAAGGGACCACGTCCTGGAAATGCACGACCAGAAGTTGAAGTTCCCGGTGGTCAGGCCGCGATACGCGAGGGCTTGGCGCAAAACTTCTTTTTGTTCACGGCTTGCATTTGCTTAAGAAACTGAAGTTGTCTTTTTCCCGCTTTTAAGGGAGTCTGTCACTGGAAATATGCCGTTTTTTTTGCAGGGGACTGAAGCAAATGGAAGGCAGGGAAGCCCAAAGCATGCTGTTTAAACAACTGTGGTTTGCAACATGTTTAATAAGTTGTTGGCCCAAGCCTGGCTAAGATCAACCAGGTGGATTCACAGGGCGCTGCTTGCCCGAAAATTGATGGATTCCCTATTGAACGGAACGACCCCCCTATTGACCAACCCACCCTGGGTTGAAATTGAGTGTCCATTTTGGCAGATTGATACACATTAGAATGCTGCAGATATCGCTGGATCCCTTGTTCCCCACATTTTCCGCCAAACAATGATGCTTTACTTTTTAACCCCCCCAGGAAACATGCCTTGGACTGCTTGCTTGCGGTGCACGTGCCTCCCCAGTGTCCCATTTTATCCTTTTCATCGAATTCCCTTTGGTCCGTCGCATGGAGCTGACCGACTTGATCCGACTGCCAGGAAGGTCCCAAACTCGGTCAAGAAGCTGCGCACCACCTTCAAGGCGACCAAGCTGATCCCTCGTCCGTGTGCACCCGAGCCTAACTCTGTTGCCCAGTGGCACCCTTTTTTCCTTTTTTTTAGAAAAGGGTTCCCCTTTAAAGTCAACCAGCCAAAAGGGGATGCCCTTTTTTCCCATGGCCACTGGGCATCTGAGTTGTGCTCCCCGAGCCTAAAAACAGGATATTTGGTTCATTGTGCAAGTTGCTGACGCCTTAGTCGATGCGGTGTGGCTAAAAATTGGGTTATACGAGTGAGTTTGCCAACCAGGAACTCCCACCCTGATCAATGTCTAGGGGGTTCGCATTGAAGAACCATTTTGTACAGTTCGGATGGTTTCCCTTGCAAGTCGCACAAAGTTGCGAGCATTCATTTCGAGCCTTTTGCCATATTAATGCGGAGGGTCGGGAGGGCGAGTTTTTGCTTTCCCTGGGTTTTCCACAATGAGCTTACCATCCGGGTTGGCACCGATTTATTTCCGCCCCGTGAGTTGGCTTCCCTCCGCATTCCCTCTACTGTTGTTGGTTACGTGTTTAGGTCATTCGGGTTTGTGCGGGCCTTTTGGCAAGCGGGAACCAAGCAACATGATATGTTTATTTCAGACCTGGAAGTGGTGTTGCCCAGCAAAAAGGCTTGGGTTCCAGCTTCCTCCTAGAAGCTTACAGGAAGGCCTTGTTGAGAATCCGGCTGATAGCTTGCGCACTTTGCTGTTTGTTTTCGTATTGTTCAGTTCCAGTTGCATCCACCGAATGCTGTGATTGAAGCGCTTTCCTCTCTTCAACTCTTGGCTGCGGGCCCTACACGTCGTCTTTGGGAGAGGATGATACGTCATTCCCGTGTGTGATTTTCCAGGGGCCAGGTGGCCGAGTTTACCTTTATTTGTTTTCCTACCTCTGAGGAGTGCAACTCATTTTTAGCGGAAGCTTTAACATGTTCTCTTCATTTTTTCTTTGGCGTCCTAACTTTGCACCTGAGCATTGCCTGACATGTTGACGGAACAGCTTAATTACCCTTCCAAATCCGGGCATTCTTTGGCACTTGGGGCGTTGTACGCAGGTCAAATCCCGAGGGATTCGGAGGCATCAACACCCGCCGTTTGCAGCGACCGCAGGCGAAGCGCCCGCAGACCTTTGTGCGATGAGGCGATGACCCGCAGACTGGCATGGTCACACTATTTTATGGGGAGCTCACCTGAGGGAGTTAACAAGCTGATTCATGAATGGAATTGATGTAATTGGTCATTGACTTGGTCAACCCCAGAAAGACCAGAAAGAAAATCCTTGTTTGTGGTTGCCAGGGTCGGGGCTTGTCACAGAAAGTCATCCTGACCAACTGCCCGAGGTGGTGCTGCAAGGCTGCGGAGGGCCAGAGCCGGACCGGAACAAAAAGAGAAACTCGCGAGCTGCTCGCTGCTGGTGCGAAGCCGGACCCAGTTGTTCAGTGGGATTAGTTGAGTCCGTTTTTGCGCAAAGAGGATCCCAGTAAACCTGGTCCACCCCGAAAAGGGCCGTGAAATGTAGGACTGGTGTGGGTGCTGAAGATTGCCCAGGGTTGGGAGTTCGGGTGACTGTCCTGGGAAGTTGTCATTTGGGTTCTCCAGCCAGGCCTCCTTTCTCGGAGATCGCTTCGCTTCGAGCCAAAACTGAGGCCGCCAGAGCTGTTGGTCTCGGTGAGCAACGACGGGAACGTCTTGCAGTGGTCCTTGAAGAAAGGCGACTTCGCTGAGAAACAACTGCTGCGGACACTCGCGCTTTGATTCTGAATGGTATGGCTTGACCTATTTGCCAAGGAGTGCTTCGGTCTCCCTTTTTGGTGGGAAACACCCTGCGCAAAAGACACGCCAAAAATCGCCATCGTGCTTGTGCAAAAGCATCTCCGCACTCGAAGGGTGGCCCTTGAAGTTTCATATGTAGTTTCATGTGAATTTATCTGTGCTTTCCGTAGGCAAGATGACAGAATAGAACTGGGTCGAGGCTCCCTCGTACGGGGTGTGAAGGCCAAATGCTGGCTGGCAGTTCTGCGCAGGTCTGGAGCAGATGCTGCTCATGCCTCTGAAGCGCATCGCCAACCCCTTCCTAGGCAAGTCACATCCCGGCAATGGCTGGATTTGGGAGTTGGGATCCCTGCGATGAAATTACGCAAAGTGCCGCGCTCTTGGTATGTGAGTGGGGGCAGTGAAGCCGAAGGTACCTGATCCGATCAGGAAGCTCTCCGGGATGGATAGAACATGGTTTCTCAAGGTGGAGATTTGCTTTTGAGCAGCAGATCCATGTCGCCGAAGCCATGAGAGGATGGGGCAAGTTTCGCTTCACGAGTGGCTGGGTGCTTCTTGAGAATGGCATCCTCCTTAGAATCGGTTGCTTTTCAGGTCCAAGACGTATGACAACCGTTAGATGAAATAATTTTGCCATGAGATCCTCAAACAATTAAGGATAAAACAGGTTATCCAGATCGAGTCTGAAGTATGAAAGTCATCAGGTATTGTTTCTTTCAGAGTTTGCTAGCCCAGCACAACCTATCACTGCATTTGGTGCAGCAATACCTAAATCACCTAACATCGCAAAACTTGCAGTGTTTCCTACAAAAGGTGTTTCCTGCAAGTTGCACCTGCACTAAATCACGCCAAGTGTTCATGAGTTCCAGGCAACACGTGCCTTTTGCAGGCAATATTGGCAAGCTGAATAGGCCCGTAGTCGGAGAAAGAGGTACCTGGACAAGAACGCTTGGCTGCTTTGGGCTCTTCGGCCAGGCGCCAACTGCGTGTACAAGCACAAGGAGGGCATCGTCTTTAGAAAAAGCAGCGGCTTCTGCCGGAGCCCCAACGGTAGACACGGAATAAGGGTCGGGGAACGCCTTTGAACATGTGTTTATCTCACGGTTCAGCCAGTTTTGCAAAAACCCTGATGGCTCAGGCACCCAGCACAGTGGGCTCCAATTAGATCAGCAAGCGAACCCCCGAGCCCCAAACCAGCGAATCCTGAGTAGCAGAGGGTCAGAGAGGACATCCCTGTACGAAGCATTTCGGAAGAAAGGAATTTGCCTATCATCCCAGAGGACCTCCGTTAGACAAAAGCGGTGATTTGGGATGACGGTTTCGGAGGCTAGGCGGGTTTTTTAAGCAGACAGCAACAAAAGCTTCAGACCCAGAAAGCTCACGTGGCACGCTGAACAGGTGCTATGCATGGATTCTTGGTATGGATCCTTATGTATTGCAAAAACTGTTGATTATGGCAAATTGGTGGTAGAACCTCAATCCGCAAAGTTGTCTACAATCAGCCTTTGGCAGCAGAACTGGGAGGTGATTGGCCCTCCTAGAGGTGAGAATCCTGTTGACAGCTTTCCTGCTTTGTTCGCCTGTCATTTGCTTTCTCCCTTCGCCTTGTAGCATCTTTCAGCCAAATTTCAGCTTCCCGAAGGGTCCTGACGGCCCGGAAGCAACTCGGGGTGTGGCGCGGGGCCCCAGGACATGCCAGAACCATAGGTGGGCTTTTGAGTTGTTTTGGTAGAAAATAGATGGGTTTCGATTCCTGGTTTACCTGGTGGTTTAATCACCAGGGATATCCATCTATTTCCCTTAAAAGGACACCTGTGGTTCCTTTGCCTTTTTGCTTTTTAATGTTTAGTGGTAGTTTCCATTTAACCCACTAAGCTTTTAGCAGGGGATCTGAGGGCAGCCCAGGTTTCAGCGCCTTTCACTTGTCCCAGGTATCGACTTTCCTCGCCACGATCCCTCCACCTACCTGGTGGGCACAGAGGACGCCCGGTTCCGGTCGACTCAACTTGGTGGGGGTTGGCCAATATTGAAATGGGAAACTCCACCCGGAAATGCTCACTTCCCGATTTACTGAACTTGATAATTTATGGGAAGAGCATTTTGGTGGTAAATGAGAAGTTCGAACTTTTTGTGGCTAGTCCACTCAGGAAATGAGAATACCTTCAATTTGCTTTAGGTGACTTTTTGTGTGGGTTTTTGTTGAGAGGGAGGTCTGCTACTGGAGCCGGGAGCTCTCAATCGGCGTGGGTTCGAAAGTCGGCACCCTTCAAAAGGCCTGTGTCAAGTCTTCATTCGTCCTTGGGTTAGAGAGCATAGGTGTCCTTTTTGGTTAGGTTGGAAGTAGGTTCCGCTGGTTTAGATCTGGGTTTTATGAGCCATATGCTAGGGAACCCATCTATTTTGACCAAAAGGACACCTATGCCACAGGTGGCTTGTGGAGTCGGACTAGGTCCAATTTCAGGCCGATGGAGCGGATGAACCACTCAAAAAATCACCCCGCGGAATTTTTCACGAGCTTTGGGATGAACTAAGCAGGACACCGGTCCCTTCTGCGCGAGTGGCTAGCGGGGTAACCAAAAATCGACCATCAGTTCCTTGCGATGCCCGAAGCTTGTGAACAGCCTAAGTGAACCAAGAACACATCTTGACAAACTAAAGGACTGCCCTCACTCACCACGCGCAGCCTGTAGGTCAACAGTACGTAGGAGGATCATTGACAGACTGAACTGTCTGAAAGTTTATGCATGCGCTTTGGCTGTGGCTGTGCCTGCTTGTGCGGAAATTGTTGTCTTTGCCCTCCCCCCCTTACAAAAAAAACAAAACACACACACACACAAAAGTGCACAGGCCTCCTCGTCGCCAGCAAGAAAGATCGACTCCCTGGGAAAAACAGTCTAGAAGGGAATCTCCCAGAGTGTGAAAATTCGGTTGTGCCGCTCTGAAAAACTTGAATAACAATGAATCACATGTAAACGATCGTGGTATATACATGTCAAACCAAATGAAATGGCTGAATCCAACTTGGCTTTGACCGCAGTTTTATGAATGCCAGGCGTGTTTTGTTGCCCAGGACGGCTTGGTACATCGATGCTCGACGTCCTACAACGAGTCCAGGGCTCAGACATTGGCCATTGTTGATGTCGGAAACCAGCAGTTCCGTAGGCTTTGGTGGGCTTCTGGACTCTACTGCTGGGGTGGATCTTTAGACTTTAACTTTTTGGGAAATCAAGGGGTTTTCCACTAAACCCCCTAAAAGTTTAACTTTTTGCTGGGGTGGTCAACAGCAACCAAGTGGAAAGGGTTCCGAAGATTGACAAAGCTACCCCTGAACTCCCTGGAAGAGCGAAGTTCTTGGCGTGCAAAAAGGATCAACAAGGGCCTCAATACATCTCTGGGTGCCGGACTAAACAAACTGTTTGCCCCTTGTGAGGTTTACTTGGTTTTCCCTTTTGCAGGGGTATCCATGTAAGTATCCATGTACCTGTTGAAGGGGGGACCATTCGAGACTGGTACGTGACACGTTGGACGCAGGCAGTACCTGGACACCTACTACGGGCACTCAGGGCCTGTGTACCGGGTGCGGTGCAACCCGTTCATGTGCGGCGCCTAGCGCAAGCCAAAGAAAGATGGATGCAAAGGGAAGAAGAGACTGAGGTTGGTGGGCCAAGGGGAGTGGGGTCGTTTCTTTCGATGTTTGTTGTTGGAAGGGGTTTCCCTTTCGAATCAGCTACCAGGAAGAAGGGGCCCTTTTTGCCGAATGACTGGAGGTCTGGGACAGGCGGTTTAAGGTTTCAATCCTGCCTTTGCATTTTCTTGATTCCATCTGAGCCCAAATTGGCTTCAGACTGCTCTATTTCATTGCTTGATCACTCCCCCAGCTTCCTTTGTTGGGAGATGGCGCAGAATAGCGTCGCGGAATCCGACAATAAACTTGAGTAGTATTGTTACAACCCTCTACCCTCTCACCAACCAACATGGAACCCAACGGAGGAAAAAATGCAGGGACCTCCAGTCAGTCTTCCATGACGGGAGGCGATGGACGGTGGCCTCCGGGGTTTTATGTGTCGCGACTGGTGCTTTTTGGGAGCCTTCCATTCTGAGACGCAAAGCGCATTGGTCTCTCGGGGTACCGCCGATGTGGCAATGATTGCAAACCAGCCAGACCCAACATGTCCCAAACGTATCTCCCTTCGCAAATGGTGCTGCAAGGGGAACCAAAAGGAAACCAACCCTCTGCAATGATCCACTCGGTTAGGAAGCGCCAATTTTGCGTGCTACCCTCATCCCTTACTACCCATTCCCGAAAATTGATATGGAACTTAGGGGGCTTCGGCGTGCCTTTTTTAAGGGCACCCTTTGTGCTGTGGTGAGGATCAAACTCGAGGGAAACCCAAGTTTCCTCATTAGTAAGCCACACTTACCTGGAGTTTGCCTGGACCTTTAAGCTTGCAAACAACACCTAGAGAAGCCCAAGGTTTTGCTCACTTCCTGAGTTCATGAACTTGAAGCTTTTGGGGAAGACCATTTTAGTGGTAAATATAAAGTTTGGACTTTTTTGGGCCATCCACTCAGCAAGTGAGTTTGTGATCCTGTTGGATTTCTTCCTTTGGGGCATG